ATTGCTAAGAACTTAATTTGGACAACTTTAAAGGCGATTTTCTCAATATTTCGATTTTTTTGCACCCTCAAATTCCACATTTTCCAACAAACCATACATCAATGGAAAGCTTATTTATTCAGCTTCCAGATGATGCATAAATCTCAGTTTCAAAAAAATGACCCTTATGACCAAAAGCAAATGTACTAACCTAATGTAAGAAATGTTTTGACGACTGAAGTGTTTTACCTGAATCCCGTACAGGAACTGCTCCGGTTCGTTCTCTCCATCCGATTCTTCATCCGTCCAGCCCTGGCCTTTAATATCCTGAATAAAACACACGCGGTGCTATTTTAGTAGCATTTATAGTATTTATTTATTTTAGTTTTTATTTGTATTTTATTTTAGTTTAGTTTCGTTTTTTATTTTATTTAAGTTTTATTTTAAGTTTTAAGTTTTCATTAGAATTTTAGTTGACGTTTTAATAGTTTTTTTAATTATGTGCTTTTTTTGTACTTTTTGGTTTTTAATATTCATATTTTTTTATAACTTTTCTATTTCAGTTTTAGTTTCAGTAATTTTAGTACTTCAACCTAAACTCATTTATTTCAGTTAGTTGCCAAGGCAACATGTCTAATTTTCATTTTGTAAGTTTTTCATCCAATATTTAGATTTGATTTGATTTCAGCTTTATTTCAATTAATGAAGACAATTTTTAATAGTTTTTGTTTTAGTTAAAATGCACATTTATTCTGGATTTTTCACTGAACACACAGCGCTGATGATCACTTCAATAGTTCAATATTTTGGTAACAAACAAGACGGCTGATTTAATCTTACTTTAAAGACGTTGATAATTAATCGTTTTGGATTCATTAAACAACTGCTAAATGCAAAATAACAGTCTGAGACCAGAAACCCACAAATTCAAAAAGACAACTCTAAAACAGAATATGCATATAAATATTGATTCCCTTTTCAGAAAATGCAACATTTCTTCATGTTCAAGTTAAATCTAAAATTTTGGTTGGAGTTTTAGTTTGACTCGATTCTGACTGATTATCAATAATAATAATAATAATAATATTAATCAAAAAGTGGCTTTCTCACATTCACAGGCAACAATGCAGTATAAAAGTACAAATCTCAAAAAGAGCTAAAAAAAATAAAATCAAAATAATTATACATCCAAAATACACAGAAATAAACAAAATTAATTAAACTTATAAACTAATTTAAAAATATGAGTTTTAAACAATTTAATGAAACAACTTAGGGTTGGGGTTCTAAAAAGAAAAACGGCAGATAATAATTTTTTTTGTCACAATCTCATAATTCATTTACAGCTCATGTACAATTACAATAACATCGAATATACTTTTTCAATTTATGCGCTCATTTTACTGCAAATCGAATGGCAAATTTTACAATTGACTCCTATGGGATGTTTTGAGCGAGCAACAGTAACCGAGGGGGGCGGAGCTTAGCCAAAGGTCAAGTAAAGAGTTACAGTTGTGTCATCTCACATTCTTCATCAGCACGGTGTTTGTGTCCAGAGACCCGCAGCTGAACGCAGGCCATGTCTGACGGTGTTTGTGTGTGTAATGAAGTGTGAGCGCTCACCATTGGCTCCGGTGTTCACAGACGCGTCTCTAACAGGATGAAGCTTTTCTGATCCATTTCAGCTCAAAACACAAAACAACAGGCACTCTGGGACGACAGGAGACGTCTTCAGTAAGATGAGCTCTGTGCTTTCTGTGGAAAAATAAACAGATTATTAGACAAATCATTGATCAAAACCACAGAGAGCTCTCCATTTAACTCAATAACCAGTTACCAGAGAGAAATGACAAATTATTGTGAACCTGCAGATTTATGCATCTCAAGAGAGACAATAAAATAAATCACTGTAATATCTGCAATCATAAAGATTATATAAGATTTGTAATAAAGGAAAGAAGCTGTGCTTAGTGCTGTTTGCAAGCATCACTGCCACTAATAAACTTAATATTTTCATCTGCTGGATGATAAAACAGGTGGGAAAAAAAATCACACATATGAACATTGAAGCAAGAAAAGTTACAAAGGTTATTGAAATATGTTTTACAAGAAAATACTATTTTAGTCCTCCTACTTCAAAATTTTGTTTAATTCAATGTGTAACTTGCCATTTCTTTGTAATTAATTGTGAAATTTACAAGCAATTTCCAAGTGAAAATAGTTTCTGCACCAATTTTTTTAAATATATATATGTGTGTGTGTGTGTGTGTGTGTGTGTGTGTGTGTGTATTCTGCTTTAAAACAATCTTAGGACCATCTATGTTTTGTTTTTTTGCACTGTGAATTTTTTTTTTATTGTATTGCATTTTATTGTATTTGAATGTATTTTAACTTTAATACATAAAAAAGCTGTAATGAGAACCTAATGAGAATTACCATTAAAATAATGAAAATTACAAATAAAACTCAAAAGCAACACTGGATTTTTACAATGCATAGAAGACTTAAATAGAGACTCTTTTTACTTAAGACAATAGCAAACCTTCTTAGAAATCACCCTAGCAACCATTCAGAACACCCTAGCAACTGCACAACAAACCTCCCAGAACTCTTCTGCAACCAGGCAGCATCAATCTCACGTCATGAACTTTGCACGGTCAAACATCGCTGACATTTTCTCACATGAAAAATTCCAGTGTCATATTTGTGAGCGTGCAGATGGCAGGCATCCAGTCCTGTAGACCTACAGAAACCGAGACGCCTTTCTGTTTAAAATAACGTTCTGTTCTTTCTCCTCCATCTCGCCACTGTGTATCCTAGCAACAACCCCTTCTGTCTGTGACACTGTTTCGTGTGTGTGTGTGTGTGTGTGTGTGTGTGTGTGTGCGTGCGTGCGTGTGTGTGTGGGCACAAATTTATAGAAGAAATTTCCCAAGTAGTCCTGTACAAGTCATATCTGATAAATACTGACAAAACACACCACATGGACGTCACAAAGCCTGGCAAGAACATGCACGGCTTTTATTTCTCCCTATATTCAAAAGATAAAAATAAAACAATATTTATTCTGCATTAAAATATCGCTTTTAGGAGCATTGTTTTTTTTGCATTGTGAAATTATTTTTTTTATTGATTTTTACTTTAATACATTACAATAATGAGAATCTAAGGATGACAAATTATGATAAATTCAAAAAAATTCTAAGTTGTAAATAAAACAGATTATTGGAGTATGTTTTAGAAGAAAATACTATTTTATTCTTTCTACTTCAAATTTTCATGTTTAATTCAATGTGTTACTTGCAGTTTCTTTGTAATCAATTGTGAAATTTACAAGCAATTTCTGAGTGAAAACTGTTTCTACACCAATTTTTTTTTCATTGAAGGATTTACTTTTGTTTGCATTGTGATATAATTTTTTGTATTCATATTGAAATCATTTTTATGTATTTTTACTTTAATACAATAAAATACTGTATTACAATAATGAGATTCTACAATTAAAAATAATGATTTTGTTTATTCTTCGCTTTTATAGTTACTTTTATTTTTTCTGCATCTGATGTAATTATGAATATTTTTAATTCTTTTTTATGTAAAGCACATTGAATTACCATTTTGTATGAAATGTATACTATATCAATAAACTTGCTTGAAAATTACAAATAAAATTCAAAATGAAAACATCTGGACACATTACAGAATTTCAAATTTTTTAGAGGGAAAATCTGTTTAATTGTCATGAAAAATCATGACGCAAATCCACATACTATTCCTGTTTCTTTGGCCACGAATAATAACTAATTTCAAACTGAATTTGAAAGCAGAAATATAATTTTGCAGCTTGGATGTAAACTATAAGACAAAGATATTTAGATAAGGTCTAAAATATCTATGAAATCCATCAGTTTTGTGGTTTCAACTATGTTTTTATATTATTGTATAATACACGTCTTTGTGAATATCATCACTCTAATGAATGCATTCATGTCTTTTATGTCAAACCTGCATGAAATCAGTAAAAACTAACATACTGATATCTAAAGAGCAAATTTAAAGACAACAAATAAGATGCACACAAATACCTGGAATTTTATATAACGTTCACTAACAAATATGTGGCTCTCAGGAGATTTTGGATGGAAATGCACTTCTGTTAATCATGCAATCATATGCACTGAATGATTTACGGCCGACATATCAGTCTAATCATCACATTCGACAGTATCCATCTGCTCGAGTCCCCTGTGTGTCCTCAAACACCCATAATGCCCCGCTGGAGTCACCACATACCGATGCATCCCAAAAACACAGACGGCCAGCATCCACGACACCCCCTCCCCCACATCCGGCTCACCTTCAGCGAGGATGGAGCGACCGCCAGACGGATGCTTCTCCTCCGACACGACACACAGCGGATGAACAGCACAATGCATACAGAAACACGGCCCCAAACCATCCAATACGGCAGAATTACTGTGCACTAGCAGCGCCCTTCCATACTAGCGCTCCCTCTCCGGCTCTCTCTGTGTGTCTGTGTGTCTGTGTGTTTATCTATTGTAGATCTCGTCTGTTCCAGAGCCGTCTTCTTTTTTGCCTGACAACACAGTGAACTGAGCATGCTCAGTGAGAGCCAGCAGAGTGAGTCATGTGACCTACAGCTGACAACAGAGAGAGAGAGAGAGAGAGAGAGAGAGAGATGCAATGCATTTGCCTGGATTGTCAGAAAAAAAGATCAAACCCACCATATTCAAGAGCAACAGTATATTCTTAATGTCTTTTAATATTTGATTTTATTACATTGCTGGCACCTTTTTTGTAAGTAAATCATCCAAAATGATGGCTTTGAATTTGAAAACTGAAACTGAGGGAGAAAAAGAAAGAGCGAGATGAAGAGAATAAAGCAACATCTGCGTCGTGATGGTGCATTGGCCAATGGCAGTGTGCTATTATTATCAGCCGAGCCTATTTTTATCTCTGTGTGTTTTTATGATTGTGTATTGAGGAATGCGAGCAGAACACAAAGACGTTTGTATAAATGCATGTGATTGTGGTCTTTACGTCAGCTCTAGTCTGCGGTGTGACGGCCTCAGCCGTTACCATACTAATCAGAGTTTACCCTGCTTACCTCTTTAAGAGCCTCGCTGTACACAATGACCTCCAGAGCGAGAGAGAGAGAGAGAGCGAGAGAGAGAGAGAGATAAGCCATTATCCGGCTCGTCCTCGGCTGCGTGACTCACGTCTCTGAGAGAGACACAGCACTGTCTCATATCCTGCTTTCCTGTAAAGAAGACACTTGCATTAATTATTCAGAAACACTTAAAATAGTAAATGCCTATTTTAGAAGCAACGGGTAAAGCACATCTTCACCAGTGTGTTTTAAACCTAATTTAGTATGACAAATGGCTTTTGAGTATCTGCTGACCAGTGCTGTTATTGTTAATTAATACTAAAACTATTAAAAATAATTTTCGGTATTGAAAAAAAATCTAAATAAAATAAAATATTAGATGAAAAACCTAAACTTAAGAAACTTACATTTGAGAACAAAAATGAGAAATGTTGCTTTAGCAGCTAACTAAAATAAATAAGCACTAATAGGTACTACAATTACCAAAACTAAATCTGAAATAAAAATAAACATTTAAAAAAAAAAACTAATAAAAATGACAAAGCACACAAAATTATTAAAACTTAAATTAAAATGAAAAAGAAAATAACTAAATAAACAATAATTCAAAATATTCATAAATACTATATTAGTATATAATAATAAAATAACACTGCTGAAATCACTGAAATAAAATAAAATATAAAAAAACTAACACTTTATTTCAGCCAGTGGCCAAGCCAACAGCTCTCATTTACATTTAGTTTAACTTGATGCACTAAAATGACTAATAGTAATAATTCATTGAAATAATAATAATTCAACTGAAATATAAATTCATAAATAATTTTACAAATTAAATAATAAATAATATACATATTAAAAAAAAAAGTTAAATGACAAAAAACACAAGAAAACTGCAAAATAGAAAATATTTAAAACAGAAAATAATTCAAAGTATTAATAAAAACTATAATAATACCTCAATGCTCCTAAAATAACATTGCTTGCCGAAAGCATCAAGTAATTTCATAATGTACACCATAATAAACATTCAGTATGTGTATCTGTAGGTAAATGTTGTGGATGCGTGTGCTTTGATTCCTCATAAAGGAGACAACTTTATCAATTAATGCATCAATTTTGTTGCTCTAAGAATTCCTTTGAAAAATAAAAACAGGCTCTAATGAGTCAGTATAGAATATAGAGCATTGAAGTTAATGTGGATCATAAGAACATCTGATTTTTGATTGCAGATCTTGTTGTCATTGCAAACCTGAGCACAGTTTGAGAAGCTCTCCAGAACACTGTTGCAACTGACAGCCAATCCAGAATGCATCAATGGGATTTACGATGGGATTTGACCACTGCCCGTCGATGCAGACAGCACTGGCGGCTTACAGGTCGAGGTTTGCACGGACTGGCCGATTTTGTGTGTGTGTGTGTGTGTGTGTGTGTGTGTGTGTGTGTGTGTTTGTGATTAGTGCTGTATGACTTCACTGACCATAAAGACATGCCGGTGTACGGTCACATTCCTAAGATGCAAGTCTGTTTGTATAAGATTTATTGATTTACTGTTCTATGTGTTTGATCTTCACTAGTGGTCGACCGATATGGGTTTTTTGACTGCCGATAACTTGGAAAGCAGGGTGGCCGATATAAAGCCGATATAATTTTATTTATTTTAATTCATATTTAA